AATAATAATAATAATAATAATAATAATAATAATAATAATAATAATAATAATAATAATAATAATAATAATAATAATAATATTATGCAATTCACTCTAGGTTGTATTTATTGGGGTTTTATGGAGGCTTAAAACCACAATCACAATAAATCCTTCCCCTCAAAAATAAATTAATTAAATAAATAAATAAATTAAAAATAAAAATAGTAATAAATAAATAGTTTTAATAATTAAGTTATTCTATATTATAAATCAATACAAACAGTTTGCAGTGGGGTTTAAGAGAAAAATCTAGACTATTCCTAGGTTTATTAGAAACTACAGCACTCAGCCAGCCTGAGCAATAATACAGCAGTTAGACTGCAGGTATATCAAACTGACAACCTATGGGCCGGATATGTCACATGCATGTCTCACCCACCCCATCTCCGTGAAGGGGAAAAAGTCACAAAATGTCATGTAATGGCAACGTGATGCCGCAAGTTTGACACCCATGAGTTAGAGGGTTATAGGATGTTTTATATATTTAATTCCAGATCTCCTGTCAGGTATGCATTTGATATTTTATACAAAAATGAATAATACACATGTTAACCTCCTGCATTTATTCTTTCTGATTTCTGATGCTGTATATTCTGGGCTCAATAGCTATCAATTAATCTAAATGAGCTATTGCTAAAAATATATCAGTTCCTTCAAAAGACATAGGATACAGCCAAAAGATCCAACACACAGCTTGTATTATCATCTAAACCATGGCACAGTAAAATCAGTTCTCTTTTGTCTGGTGAGTCCCAAGACAAGCTGTGCTTTTAGAAACACAGAAATTATGTTGCATGAGATAATCAAAATGCTGCCCCTGCAGTGGTGCAATCAAACAATGAAATTATAATTGCATTCTTGGCTGTGTATAAAAGCGACAGTTCAGATTGTTGTAGAGCACAAACTGTGAACTGTGAGCATCAAATGGATGTTACACGTCAAATGAATCCAACTACTGAACTGAATAACCAAATGCTGATTAAAGTATAACAATAGCTTTAATTGCCAGCATTTCCTGCATAATGGTTTGAGATTCCTGGCTGAATATTCTGAAATCTAATTGGTTTTGAATGCCTGAATATGTTGGAGTCTTGAGAAATTCGTATGTGATTAAGTGCCCTCGGATTTCAGTTATACATCAGTTAGATTAATCACAAAGTCTACTTTCCAACTATAAAAGGAACTACCAGAGATTATTATAATAACTATATACAAGCCATGGGACTTGTTACACTAAACAAAATTCAAAGTAAGTAGAAGCTATTCACTGCTGAAAGATAGCTACCGTATTTCCAAACACACCCTATGGGGGCCTGCAGTAAAAATCTACCAATAAAGTTGAGTTTCAAAATACATGGAAATTATTTTCATATTCATTCCTTTCTTATGGAAGATTGGTTATGTCAGTGTCCAACACTTCCTTTCCAAGTAGAGACAGTGCTGTTTCAAATGTGAATTAACCTGTAGGAAGTTATATTCCACAGGCAGAGAGGATATCACTGAAATGGATATACACAGAAATTATTATGATAATGATGATATTAGAAGCCATTTCTTTGGGGAGGGGGGTTTTGCCTTTAAAGGCTCATTAACAGTGTGTATTTCCTTAAATATTATACATGGTAATACCTAGTTTCAATAATCATCAACAAAGTTAAGCTTGCAGCTTTAAAAGCAAGCATTTATACTGGATTAAACTGAAATGAAAACAAGACCACTTACCAGTACTTTATTTCTTTTAATTTCTCTTCATTGTCCCGCAGCGGAAACTTTCTTCCTCATTTTCAGCCATTCTCCTCCCTGAAGGGAGCACATCATTGCTAAATCTGCAACCTCCAGCTAAACATGTTGAATATAACCTCCAGTGGGATGAAGGTGCATAGGTGTGGGTGGGTAAAGCAGAAACTAAACCGGAAATTCTTCTTTTCTCAACTAAGAAAACTGGATTGGAATGTCTTGGTTAGCCCCACCTGATTTGTTGATCTATGTACGGTATCTTATAGGAAAGGAAAACAAGTGTGTACACTCCCAAGCGATTGCAAATTTTATCAAACTGTTAGTTTGCATTCTGCATTATTCTGCAATTTGCATTATCAAACTGTTAGTAGCATTCTGTTTATTCATCTTTCTCTTTTATGATTTTTTTCTTTTTTTCCCTGCCCTTTCTATCTTTCTTTTCCCTCTTTTTCTTTTATTTATTTATTGTTTATTTATTTATTGGTTCGATTTATATGCCGCCCTTTTCCAGAGACTCAGGGCGGCTTACAATGCGTTAAGCAACAGCCTTCATACTTTTGTATATACCTGTTTAGTAGGGCTTTTGCCCCCCCCCAAAATGGTGTTCTTTTTTATACAAAGTCAGCTTATTGCCCCCACAATCCGGGTCCTCATTTTACCTGCCTCGAAAGGATGGAAGGCTGAGTCAACCTTGAGCCTGGTGAGATTTGAACTTGCAGTAATTGCAGGCAGCTGGTGCTAGTTAACAGCACTTTAGTCTGCTGCGCCACCAAGGCCCTTAATTTTATTGTTTCATTTTGTTTCACACAGAAGTTGTTTTCAGTAATTTAGATGGTTTTTTGTAAGTTCTGCATCTATTATTCAATCTAATCCTA